GTAAAGAAGTAGAATTCGCATGTGCTAGGAGTCAAGAGTGTTAAATAGTTCATTCTATGGGGTGGCTCTCAGAGCACCACCAGTTTCAGTTAGGCATAAGAGAACTGAGTATAGCAAGCCTAATTCTGCTATTAACGCATAGCTCTTAAATGTGGAATATGCCAGGACCAGTGGTAACATCATAAACAGTGTTTCTTAAACTTCAGTGAGTATATGAATCACCTAAGAATCTTATTAAAAATCAGATTCTAGTCACTAAGTTTGGGTGTGAGGCCTGATATTCTGCATTTCTAGTAAGCTCCCAGTAGACACTGATTCTGCTGAACCATTTCAAATGTCAAAAAGTTACAGCACTGATACTGTGCTTCCTGCCTAGAAATGAGATGTGTAGCCCACAAGCTGGAGGTCCAGGTTCTCATATTAAGCAAGCTGTTAAGCAGTTATGTGAATAAAAAAATTATTTAACCTCTGAGGGCCCTATTGTCTACAGTAAAATTACAGGTTTGGACCAGGTGATGCAGCAGGCCCTTCAGAACTATAAAAATTATAGATTTTTAAGATAACTCTGGTTTTTATGTTGGCTGCTGCTGTCTTTATTTTCCCTCATAAATGATTATTGAAAATAAAAAGAAATTTTATTGTGCTGTGTTACTCCCAAAGCTTCCCATTTAGTTGTATTTTGCATTCTTTGAGCCAAGATAGTTATTTCTTTTTAATGTTGATTTCCATAGTCTTTCTCCATAATTCTTAGAACATTTATTCAAATTAGTATTTTCCCTTAACTTTAAGGAGATTTAAAAAATGAATACGAAGTCTGTGGGATTATTTGTTGCCCAAATAAAAATGTAGTTTCTATTACATTTTTCAGAGAAGCTGTAATATTCTTAAATGGGGGCTGATCCATTAATTGGAGCCAATCTCATAAAACACATCCCTGCTAAGGTAGCAATGGTGGGTAGTGGTTTTAAATAGCATTTAACAGGGAACAAATCCTTTCCCTTCTCTGAATAGAATTTGAATCAGTTGCCTCTTGTTTATCCCCAATATTTTTATTCAGAATTTCAGTAACTCTTGCCTGAAGTACTGTACTAGTCCACCAACTAGTGTTCCATCTCCAGCCTTTCCATCCCATAGTTACTCCAATACAGCCCTGCCAGAGCAATGTTCCCAAATTTCAGCAATGTACAACATGTGACTGCTAGTTTAAAGCCTGAAGGGGGTCCTTTTTCAGCACCTTCATGCAATGAGGTCAGCCTACGTTTTTCAGTTTCCCACTACTTCCCTTAACCAAAGGTTTTCTACATTTCCTATAAACAGAATTTGTGACTCTTTCTATGCATTTCTTCTTCTACCTCGTATACCTTCTTCCATAAATCCTATCTGTTCTTGAAGATCCATTGCAAATGCCAATTCTGGCTTAAAGTATTCCCTGATTCTTGTAGCAAAAAGGTGAACTCACATAATACTTTGCTCTCAACTCTCTTTTTACCCAATACTCTCTGCCTTATATTCTAATGTCTATATATGCTTTCTCCCTGCCCTCTACTTGTATAATTCTTGGGAATCTGTAGTATGCTTTTTGTAGCTCTCACAGTATTTTTTCAGTTCCTCACATATGTTGAAGAAATGAGTGAATGAATAATACAGATTCAGTATTAATCTATGGATCAAGGCATTCAGAAACTTCAGAAATTTAAAATTATTTATTAATCTATTATTATTTTGGGCAAATTACTTAATTGCTGTGATTCACTACTCTCACATAGTTTCTTTTAAGGCAAGGGAAGTTTAGCAAATTTTTTTTACTTAAAGAATATAAAGCACTATGCTATATAAATGTTGGAACAGAGGGAAATCTCTTGACTTACTAGATCATGGTAAATATTGTCATAGGAGAGTGTATCCCAGATTCATCTATTATATTGTTAAGAAAATTCTATATGTAAAATTCATAATATACAAAGATGATATAATTTATATTTACTATTCTAAAAATGCAACACAATGGTACTGGCTTCACAACGTGTTACTATACAGGATTAATATTTTCAAGCAGAAAAGTCAAATTCTTCCTCAAAATACCATTGACACCACCTCAGCAATGTTATCATAATTGTCTATCATGATTTGGGAACCATTAAAGGTGTTCTTTGCAAGATACAGTCTACATTATTTTATTAAAACTTGGAAATGAAAAAGTTTACAGTCACGATAGGATTTGTGAATTTTGAGCACCTACCAAATTGATTTCCAGTGCTCCATAATCTGCACTGCATTGGTTAAACATTTTCAGCTGTAGTGTGTTAACTCTTTTAGAATACTAGGTTGATCTATTAGTGCAATAGTGTAAGAGTCATAAGAATTTAGAAAGATAAAACTTGTGAAAGCTAGCTCCATAATCAAAGAAATCAGCAATAATTGATTTTAAATATTACAAAAACTTTAAGACTAACAGAACATTAAATGATCTTAGTCTTACATAATTTTCATTGCTAATGTTTCTTCCAGTCAATTCCCTTACCAGGAAATGTGACTTTTAAGTAGTTCTGACCAACTTCAAATATAGTAATTTAATTCAATAGGACTTTTTAAAACTGTTTGAGAAATCTATGTTAATTTAGAAGAAGTCTCCCATCTTTGTCCATGAATACCAGTTTAAGAAGAAAAACAGAGGATTATAATTCTCTAAGGAATATTTTCTTTGGTATCTTTTCTCTTTAGCACTTGTAAATCCTTCCATTAAGTCATGGGAAACATCAATCTATGGATAAATTAAAAGTATTAGACTAAATATCTATTACATGTATTTGAAACCTTATTTTTCATCCTCCTTACTACTTTCCTAAGATTCCTTATAACCATCTTATGCCAGGAACTTATTTATCAGTGATAAAATCAAGAAAAGTTTTAATGTGTTCCTAACCTGTAGGTTACATCCTATAATGCTAATTTTTTGTTAAAGATGTCTTCTTTTAAAGGCAACATAGCTTAGTCTGCACCATTCAAATGGTCTAGGCCGAAATAATATGATCTTTCTGTTTATTCATGGAATTACTTCTCTGACATAGTTGTGGAGTATAATACAACCTCACTGCAGATCATGATTCTATTCTTAGAGTGATTATTTACAGAATTACTCATTCTAATAAAGCAAAAATATAACAGGAAACAGAAACCAGGTTTTGCACTAATAATCTATATCACCATTAGAAAAGCTTATGTGTGACTTTACAAATCTAAGTATGTTCATAATTTAGAAAAAAATGAAGAAATCTATTTTATCCCCATGGTTTCTGAAGATACAGACCCACTGTATCTCCATGAGCTGAAATTGCAAGATTGTAAAAAGCATGCGTAAATCTGTGACAAAGACTGTTACACACAATATTCTCTTGTCCTTTCACTAAAGATTTCACTAGATTTTGCCATTTTCCTTATGTCATGAGTACTTGTAATTTAAACATGCAAACAACAGATCAGAGACCCTAAGGTCCAATGCAGTGGTCCCCTGTTGGCATTATACAAGACGATTAGAGGATGCACCAACTAACACTTTGTTGTTGTTGTTGTTGTTGTTGTTGTTGTTGTTGTTGTTGTTGTTGTTTTGAGACAGGGTCTCACTCTGTTCCCCAGGTTGGATGGCAGCAGTACAATCATGGCTCACTACAAACTTGACATTCTGGGCTCAAGGAATCCTCCCAGCTTAGCCTCCCAAGTGGCCAGGACTACAGGCAAGCACTACCATGCCTGGCTAATTATTACTATTATTATTTTTCTCCCTATGTTGCCCAATCTGATTTCGAACTCTTGGACTCATGAAACTCTCCTACCTTGGCCTTTCCAAGTGCTGGGATTACAAGTGTGGAGTCACCATGCCCAGCCAACATTTCTTATTTTAGTAGATATACATTTATTTCAAAGTGTATAAGAAAAAAACAGCAGATCAAACTTATTATAGCTACCTTTCTTTGAGTCAAATTTACTTTTTACATAAATTTTAGGTTAAAAAATAAGTGCATTTAAGGAAAAATACAAACTACATATAGTGTAGTTGCTATTGACAAAGGTTATGATGGAGGCTGGGAAGCTCTGGTGAGGTGGAAAGGCTGGGGTCAGGTGATTGTGGTTCTGGCTCTACTTGTCACTAACTAGCTATACTACCTTTACCAAGTCACAATCTCTTTGGGCATCTATTTCTTATCTGTAAAATTATGGCTGGGGTGACTTCTAAGATCCACCAGTGCCATTCTTCAGTGATGTTGTGCTTTCTTGTCAAAGGCCATTACAAGGGATGCCAATCTGCAAAACAAAAGTAAGCATTCCAACTCTTAACACAAGAGGCCATACTTAAACTAGTTAGGCAAATCAGTGGACCTAATGTGGAATTTTTTTGAGGTTAAGATACCCTACCAATAGAGCAGACTAATCCTTTGAAAGACTGGAAATAAATTTGATTTTGCTTAGTAATATCACATTTTTTGCACATGGAAGGGATCCCAAATACTTCTGAATTCTCCCATCAATAAGACAGTCAAATAGCAGATAATTTTATGTAGCACATTTACAACATGTTACTATTATTCTAACGTGGGAGTAGGAAGGCTGGATGTTCATGATGCAGTCAGATGGAGTATTTAAGTAATGTCAGTTTTTGAAGGAAAATATACTTCTACTAGATGGATAAAAACATAGATGAACACAAGATTAAAGTAAAGAGTTGTGTTTTAAGAAACAGGAGGTGTCTACAGGTTTAAGATAAAATAGCTGATCTGGCTTCTGGTTTTACTTTTTCACTCTGAAAATAGAAAACATGTTAACCAGTTACCCATTTTCAAGGGTAATCAAATTTGAATCCCAAATTAGCTCTGTATAACTTTATTAAATTGTATTGAATTAGTTCTTTTCCCAGTGGTTCAAGAATACAAGTTCAAATCAAGACCTAACTTTGCGTACCAAAAAGCACTCATTTTAGAAAACATCTATCAATATGGTCAGGTTCTTTGTTTACTAAAATAATCTATATAATTTGAGAAATATACTACAATTTCCTTGAATTGACATTACCATCTCTTTTTCTAGAAGTTCCCCAGCCACTAAGAGAAGACTGTCTTCCTAAAGGTTACCTATAATTAACTCTGAACTAGCCTAAAGAGAAAACAATTAGATTGTAAGGTGAGGAAAAGAAGCTTTTGATTATGATGATGACCTCTGTGACTACTTGAACTAGGCATTTTGGAAATTATAATCTTAATTAGATAAAGTACTTTTTTTCTGTTTGGAATACTTATTACAACTATTTAATCAATTCAGCTCAACAAACAAACACATACCAAAAAACTCAAATAATCTATTTTTTGTGCAAATATATCTGCTTGTAGTGGTGCAAAAAAATAAAAAAGATGTTATGGGTGAAAAAATTTTATCTGTGATCTCTAAAAGGCTGTATTTATAGAGCACATTGCAACATAAATATAGAAATCGGACCTCTGGAATACCAACAACTAAATGATCTGTTACTCTATCAAAGCCCTCTTGAAAAATACGGCTTCACAATTTTCCAGCTTTTTACAGTCTTTTGTTAAATGTATCTACAGATATGCCTTCCTGATCTGTGAAAATAATCTTATATTTCTCATTCTCAGTTACAGTGAGTTCCTGGCACTCTGAAAGAGCATGCACGCTGTGGGGAGCTGCCCCTCACTTTGGATCATTGCTGACTCTGCCTCCTCCTAAGAATGGCAGCCAGTCTCTGTCTCTGTCTGGTCTCATTTGTTGAAGATGCTCCACCCCTGGGAGGATGTGCCTGGGCAAGAAGGGGCAACCCTGAGCTGCTAACCCTCTTGGGCTTATCTGAGGTTGGGAAAGAGGTGGGTTTTGATACTCCGTGAAGGCTGGGAATTTTGATTCCTTTTTCAGAGTTCAGTCTTGCAAGGCTTCCTTCTCCATGATTACTGACCGCTGCAGCAGGGGAGGTTAGGCTGCCCTTGCTGAGGGAACACGGTGAGAATGATAACCTTCCACAAAGCTTTCTGAGCTCCAGGAGCTGTTCTCTGGCTTGACTCAAAGCCTCTGTCAGTTCAAAGCGTTCTTCACATTCTCTACGCACTGTCTCCTGAAGAAAAGTATTCTGGAAAGAGAGGGTGGTGGGGAAAGCAGTCTTAGTTTTAAACAACGTACATAGGTAGATAGTTATTGACACTATAGTTTGAGAACTGAACTGGAAATCTGAGGTCTGTATTATTGGATTGTCTCTATGATACTCTACCACATGGGGCAGACAAGTCAAGAACAGAAACAGTCTGTGAAGGTGAAAAGAAGTTGAAGAGAGTATTTGGTTCAACCCTTGCAGTTTGCTGATGAGGAATCAAGAACTGCAGAGACTGACTGACCTGTCCAGGGTTACTCAGATGTTAATGGTGTGGCTGGGGTTAGAGTCCAGGACTCCTAATATCTAATTTCAGTGGGGTTTCAACTTCTCTGCCTCAAGTAGCAGACAGTATGCTCTGCACATGTAATGCCCAACAGTTAATAGCTGTAGAGTCATCACATATATTATTTTATAGTAAAGGTATACTATAGTAACATAAACAGGTAAAAGTGCTTGAAGCATATGACTGAAAGAAAAAAATCAGCTATAGCATTTAAACAATAAAATCAGTTCTTATATGATGCTTTCTCAATAAAACTTAAATATGCTGTTCATTTGCTGTCTGTAAGATAATATCCCAAAATAGAGAAGATCTTCTGCTATTAACTCCATTCATTTGGTAATAATTTCTCAAGTTACCAGAAGCTGTAGTGAATATAGTCCCTGCCCTCAAGAGTTCTGTACCTTCATAACTTTGAGCAGAACTGCTTTTTATGTCCATAATAGAATCTGGACTCAAGGTGAAAGCTGTGGGGTCTAAAATAAGGAAGAACTTTTTAATAGAGCTACCTGGAGGACACTGAAGGTTGAATCTCACTTGACAGGGATGTACTAGAGCAAATTTAAGCTTCAAATGTGTGACTGGACTAGAGATCATTAAGCCTCTTTGAAATTCTGAAATTCTACATTTCTAGTTGAGGAGTTATCCATCTTTTGTCTATGAAATTCATCAAACTTATTTCAAGTACCATGGTAAGATTAAAGTCTTGGATCTCCTAAATGTCCTGACAGTCATGTCTTTATGATGTCAAAAAAGAGGCTGAAAAGTAAATAATTCAAAGCAGTATCCTAGTAACTAAACACAATTAAAATGAGTGTGCTATAGGATTCATCAACTCAAAAATGAATTTCCATTGGTTAACTTGTTTGTAAAAATAGCCAAGGCATTCCCAAGTCTGCCTCTTAGTGGAAAACATCCTCCCTAAGGGTGACTAATCTGCTGTCAGTAGAACTAAATAACAAAGCACCAGAGAAAGTAGCATCTTCCTGTTTTTGAGTTTCTCATGATTATAGACAGAAGTCTATTCAATTCCAAATTTGGTAATTAAAATGGAAAAATATGGGGCAATTCCAGATTAACCAGTTGCACAGTAATTTTCTATAAAAGTTGCATTCCTGGGTCAAACAAATCCTCATCATTTACATATACTATTTACTTACATACATGACCCACATTTTAAAATGATCATGGGTTAATCACTTGCTTCCAGTTATTTTTTGGAGGAATTGGAGAGCAAGGATGGTGTTTGTGGCTTTAATACCTGGGTCTCATTAACTCTAGCTGAAACATTTGTGGAAAAGGTAGGGGAGGAGGGACTAGAGAGGAAGCTTAATAAGGTGCCATGGTAGCTGTGATTTCATTTCCTGCTCCCAACAATCATATCTGACAAATAAAGATACTGAAGCTCACACTGTTATGTTACTTGCTGAAATAACTCCATTCTGAAGTGGTAGAGCCCTGCTCACCTCCAGAGCCTTGTTCCATGCTGCCTATGCCTAAATTAGTTGTCTAATTCATTACATCAAGCATCAGGGACCATTTTGTTCCCAGGACACTGAAAAAAAAAAAAACCAAAAAAAACAAACAGTAGGACATTTTCCTCTGGTTTTGCCCAGGTTTTCTAAGTTCTATTAATCAAAGTTTCTTTTAAAGAGGGAGAAAGACCCAATCCATTATATTTTTTGTCTACTAGTGGAGTAAGCTGGCAAAGTGTTGGAATTGTTAGATTTAGGTGATGTATTGGTACATTCTTGCATTGCTATAAAGAACTACCTGAGACTGGGTAATTTATAAAGAAAAGAGTTTCAATTGGCTCATGGTTCTGCAGACTGCACAGGAAGCTTAGTAGCTTCTGTTTCTGGGGAGGCCTCAGGAAGCTTCCAATCATGGTGGAAGGCAAAGGGATAGTGATGCATCTTACATGGCAGGAGCAAGAGAGGTGGGGGGAGGCACTATACACCTTTAAACAACCAGATCTCACGAGAACTCATTCAGTATCACAAGAACAGCACCAACAGGATGGTGCTAAACCATTCATGAGAAACTGCCCCCATGATCTAAACACCTCCCACCAAGCCCCTCCTCCAACACTGAGGATTACAACTTGACATGAGATTTGGGCGGGGACACAGATACAAACCATATCAAGTGATTTTCAATAAATTAATATAAAAATATCCCTAATTAAGAAAGCAATAAGAGTTCATTTTATTTGAATATGTCAAAGAAAAACATAGCAATGAAAAATGAGGACAACATATCAGTGACATGAATAACAGGCACAACAATATTGAATTATAAAGTGATGGAGGATGTGATGACAAGAGCTCTCATTAAAAGAAAAATAAAATTCAATCAGTTTACTAAGATTAAATTCAAGTCTCAAAGGAAAAGAGCAATGATCTGGGGGAAACAACCAAAAAGCAAGATGTCCTCATAGCAAGTTCAATGGGATCAAAGTCCTGGCAGACTATAAGCTGAACTGTGTACCCATGCTTTATACCCAGTGAAGTCTGAATCAGTCATGGAAGGATCAGATTACAGTTTCCACCAGCACTAACTATATTCCAAAGTAAGTGAATGGCTAGCCAGTGGGGTGGGGAAGGGTTTCTGACTGTCTGGGCCCACTGCTCTGAAAGTCATCCTTCTTTAAGGTCATTAGCTTGCAAGACAAAGGATTAATTCTCTTTCTTCTGTTAGTTCCCAAACCAGGAGGACCTCTGAATTGAAAACAGGATCCAAAATTGAGACTTCTATTTTCTTCTGTGCCAAAACATTATGAAATGTTAGGTGAACCTCACAATATTTTCATATAATCTGCCACCATTACCCCCTCCTCTAAAATTGAGATTATAACTCTGTTTTGTTCAACAGGAAGTTAAGATTTATAATTTATTCAATTATGGGATAAAAAATGAAAATAAAACAATGCAAGTTTAAGGGACTGCTATTTCAGGGGTGGAGTTTGATAGGGCATGACTAGAGGACATGTGGATGTGGCTACAGTAAGTAGACACATTAGTGAAAAATTCCATCATATGTGAAAAGAATCATCCACTCGTGGTTAGATTGTTTTCAGCAATTTAGTCAAGATGAAGGTTGGACTGTTGCAGAATTTTAATGTGTTTTCACTGAGCAACAAGGACAAATGTGCAAGATGAAATATGTTCAGTAAGACTGAAAATCATGCATAGTATTCTGTGTTTTAGATAAAATTATCTTTGGCCATATTTTAACATGGCAAAAACAGAATCATTGGATTGTAACTAAACTGGAAGTTAAAATGAAAAGGAAGGCATGAGCCAGGTGAAGAAGGGGGAAAGAGGTTTTCAAGGCATAGTGGGCAGTGCTGCAAATGCCTGGCAATGACAGAAGGAAAGGCACATTTTGGGATGAAACACGGCTTAATATGACACAGGCAGTTGCACACAGGGAGCAGAGACCAGGACTGATGTACAAAGGAGTGAACAGAGTCAGATCAAGAGAAAGCTTGTTAATGTGCTAATACTACAGTTTTGACTTAATTCTGAGGCTCATATGGAGTCACTGAAAGTTTATTTCAAGCAGATGGCTGGCATGATCAAATCTGCATGAAAGGAAGATCCCTTTGCCAGCTCTGTGGAAAATGTCCTGAAGTTGGGCAAGATGGGAGGCAGGGAGGACAGTAGGAGCCCTAAGTTTTCATGGAGGAAGTCCCTATCTCAAGTGACCCTTGGGTCAGGTGGTTTAGGGAGGGCAGAACTAGGCATTCCTGCATCCTTAAGCTCTGCTGATTGCTGGTGAGCATTATCTGTAGGTATCTCTACAACATTTTCAGAATAAGGCCACTATGAACGGGCTTAAAATGTGGCTTAATTGCCCTCCCACTGAGAAGGAAAATGTCAAAATGAAAATATAAATTAGTTCACCATATGTTTGAAATTTCTAATATTAAAAAGTGGTCAATTTCCCCTAATCCTTGCAATATAAGTGCGGTTTATTTTTATATTTGTTTTCCTTTTTATTCTTAGAGACAGCTGGGTTGCTTTCAATTCCAAAAACAGTGGAAGAAGCGAGAGAAGGCTTTACTGTGTAACCTGATTGTTCCGAAGGTAAGACTCCCATCTGCAATGGGAATCAGCTGTTTCTGGCACAATTTTTTGGGGAACATGCCAGGAAAGCTAGTCCTCTTCAGTGAAGAACAATCACAGATGGGTGGCTTTGTTCATGCTTTAGACCCACTAAAATCTGAACCAGTCATGGAATGATCAGATTATAGTTTCAACCAGCCTTAACTGGATATATTCCAGTGTGAGTGGGTGGCTGGCCAGGTGGGTGGGGAGCTGAGGTGAAAGGAAATTCTGGGGAAAACTGTGGAAACCAGAAAGATGAGTGGGAGTTAGCAAAGGATGTTCCCAGCTCCCATTCAAAGCTTTCTGTTCAACTAATCTGATCAGCCCAAAACACTGCAAAAAATTAGTGGAAATGGCCTTTTGGTAAGACAGGAATGAGAATCTGAAATAATTTCCAGGAAAGAAGTAAGATGCATGTCAGGCTGGTTGTTTTCAAAATTATATTTCTATGCTTACAAACATCATAAAAACATGGACATATCAAAACAAAAGTTGTAGCAACAGAGGGCAATAATCCCTCAGACTGATATGTTTCAGAGGCAGATTTTCAGGACAGAGAGGAAGAGCCCATGATGACAAAGTATTTA